CACACACACACACACACACACACACACACACACACGCCCGCTACTCTGTCTTTGCTTAGTGATTTGTAAGAGTTCTTTATATATGAAGGATGGTAGCCAAACTCTGCATTTTCCCACTTTGCATATGGATCTCTGTCTCCCTCCAGCTACCATCTACCGTCTCAATATCTGAAGTACGTGTACCTACCTACCTACCTACCATCTGTCCACCATCCATCCATTCTACGTGGTGGTCACAACCTGGGTGGGGTTGCTCCTGGCTCCTGGTTTCAATGACCCGCCATCAACCGTGATCCCAAGCTATTCGGCGGAAAATTCCAGAAACAAACAATCGGCTGAGGCCCAGAGCAATGGAGCCACCAACCACGGACTAAGACCTGCTGAAACCACAAGCCAACATAGTAAACCTTTCGTCCAACACCATAAACCTGGATTTCCTCAGGTGTTTTGTTACAGCAACGGAAACTGACTAACACTGTGGTTCCCGACCGCTCCTTAGGAAAGGACCAGACTTCCAATCCTGCCTCCGCCTCAGGAGGATCCCCCCCGAGTTCTGGGTGGTTCCGATGGACTGAAAAATCCACATTGGAGACAGAAATGCTCATCGGCTCCTGGGAACCAACCTGCAAGGGGGGGATTGAGAGTATGTCCCGGGTCCCCGTGGGCTTGGTGACCTTTACTGCCATCGGGGGGCATGTGGAGTCCCCAGCTCTTACCTGAGCAGGCTGGACACCTGAGGGGTGATCAGCACCACCAGCTTCCTCGACGTCTTGTGGTTCCTCAAGGACAGTCCCAACACCAGGGCCCCCTGGCAGTAAATATCATTGGTGGCCAGCGTGACGAAGGCTTGGGTGGTCACTGGGGGTGGGACAAGAACATGAGGGTGACTCTCCCGAGAGATTCCCTGGGACACTGGCTCACAAGTGGGGCTTGAAGGCGATGGGGGATCGTGAAGCTCTGACCTCACGGGTGGATTAATCCACTTGCCGGATTCTGTTGTGTGGACATCACACAGTCTCCTTACACCGCCGAAATGGCTACGGTGTCCACACCACAAAAAAAATCCCCTAATAACACACTTCTGAGAACGCCTGGATAAAGTCCACACAACCATATCCTGAAGTCTATCAAGCGTCCCATGGATGGAAAGGATTAATCCATTTAGGGCTGGATGGATGATGGCAGGTGGGACCTAGTTAAAGGAAACCAGTTAGCAGGTGTGTGTCCTGGCTGACCTTCTGTCCAGCCCCTTGCATTCCCTCCCTCTCTCTCTTCTTCCTGATTGGCAGGACCCTCCCACCTCCATTCCCTTCCGCCATGTTTTTTTT